AACACGATCATTTTCATAAGAATACGTTCTAATCCCACTCTTGAAGCAACATAAGATGTCGTGAGTCCTCTAGAACTTGATGGTAAGTCTAATACTGATATGGTTGTCAAACATGTTTTGAGTTTATGAAAGCTCTTGTCACATTCCTCCATCCACTGGTACTTTGCATTTTCCTGCGTTAACTTGGTTAGTGGTGTCACGGTTATTTTGGAATAATCCTGCATAACTACCTGTAATAGCCTGCCAAGCCTAAAAAGCTTCAAACATTTGTAGGAGTAGTGGGTCTTATCTATTTTTAAACTGCTTCTATCTTTTTAGGATCCACCACAATCTCATTTTTAGACACATATTCCCAAAGAATGCCACTAAGTCTAGCGAAACCTCACACTTAAGAACTTGGCACAAAACTGATTATCCTTCAATTTCTGTAACACAATTTTTTGGGTGTGATCACAGTGTTCTTCGTGGTTACGAGAATATACCAGATCATCATCGATAAATAGTATGACATATCTATGCAGAAACGGGTGAACACCCTATCATTAAGTCTAAGAATGCAGTTAGAGCATTGTAACAAGAAACTCCTAATCGTACTAAGTTCGGAATATTGTCTTAGGAATATCCTTCTATTTGATTCTAAGTAACTGATTAAGCAAGTCATCTATATGGGGTGATGAGTACTTACGGTTACTATTTCCTTATCCAACTGCTTTTAATCGATCTACATCTTAAAGATCTATCTTTCTTCTTTACGAACAATACTTGTGCACCCTAGGGGATACATTCATCTGACAAAACCCTTATCTAGCAAGTCTTGTAATTGTTGCTTTAACTATGATGGTGTCATACGATATGGTGGTATCAATATTAGTTGCGTGTTAGGTTGTAAATCATTACCAAAGTCTGTTTCATGTACTGGAGGTAGTCCTGGCTCACGAATATATTAGAAAATTACTTCAATGTTGGACACTTTTTTTTTTCAAAACTAAGTATTTCTTCTTCGGTGCCCCTTAACATAGCTATGAGACTTAAACAACTTTTCTTCCATAATCATTGACCTTTCATAAAAGAGATAACTTTATCAATCTCTAGAACTTTGACCCCTCTTTAAAGATAAGACTGGGTTCAGTAGGAAGATAATATATTTCTACCCATCAATATGTCAAATAGACCGCATCAAGTACAATCGGGTAAACTAGGGTATTCCTACTCCCAATTCATACCTGAAAAGCTGTATACACATGTTCAATACAGTTTTCTCATATATTTGGAGCACAAAAGCGTATGCTTAAGATCTCAAGTTGTTCTTAATTTCCAACTCCTTGACCTATATTCAGATCCCTGCCGAAAGGTTTCAAGTCATGCCTTTCTTTCATAAAATTCTTGTTTGAATGCCTATTATGCCCATATTTTAATTTCTATATTTAATATTTTTCTTTTTTTTTGGCCAAGTTCAACTGCCACAGAATATATTAGATTCATCAAGTGTGGGGTTAACTTCTCGTATAGAAGGTTTGCCATTCTTCACCAACATCTAAACTTGAGATGTTGCATGTCAAGCTGAGAATGACTTATGTTGGTACATCATCGTCTAAATTAATTATTTAAACTATCTAGAAAGCAAGTTCACATTACAAACTGTCAAGAAGGAATTAATTCATAAATACTTTACTGAAATCGTCACTAAATTAGTTGTGCCGCTCTTGTTGGCATCCCAAATAATATGGTATCATTTCATGCATTCACCATGTTCTCTAGTCTATAAGTTGCTTGTTCCATAGACCTCTCCATAAAATATCCTATAGCTCGTAATGTTGTTAGTATATTACCAAAAACAATTAAGGATCCTCTGAAATCAACCTTGGGGACTTTATTAAGGATACTTCTTTGTTCCCTACCATCTTCTAGGTGCAAGAGGACTCTGGAGCCCTTTTCTGTTGCTTATGCTTCTAATGTCTATCCATTATATACATCAAGGTCTCAATCTTCCTTTTTCATGGAGATAAGTATCTTTGTAATCTTCTATTCCTATAGTAATGGACCGGTACAAATTTTTCGTAATGGACTTTATTACACATCTTACCGGTATGAAAGCCCCCCATTAGTAACACAATGGACCTTTTATTGGCATTGTATACTACCTTTGTCGCATTCATTTGTTGGGAGATGATTGCCTATCCATTGGCAACATTTGATATCTCGAAACCTATAGCCAAATTCTATTTGGTGAATGGTCCAAGCCATATAAGAACAGGATAAATGGTTACATATTCAGTTATTTGACCCTAATCGCTACACAAGTACATGGGAATAAGAAAGAAAGACAAGACATATCCTTACGATCTTGCTGCCAAAATTCCTTTTTCAAACTCCCTTCAATCACGTCTCCTCTAATTGCCAGAGAAGGCTTGTGAAAGCTTCTTGAAAAGATGATCTTCATAGCTTTTTAAATCTTTGGTTCTTCCCATCTTTTTTCCTATTGTTCTTTTCTTTCTTCATAATTTTTTTTTCCGTCCTTTGTATGAATCTGCGTTGAGTACTCCCCGTGTTCCTTCACTCGAAAGAGGGCACCAGTCTCACATTAAGTTTTTTGGTCTCCAAAAGTGGCTGGTTAAAACTTTTTCCCCAAATCTCTTTAACCTATTTCCCTTTCCCTAATGCTATTTACGTTTTTGATGGGCTAAGGCCCACTTGTACTTTTTTTTAATTTGCTTTTATAGTAATTAGGTAAATGCACTTATTTTAATAAGGGGTATTACACTGTGAGTTCAAATCTTATGTCAATCTTGTTGTTCTGGATTCATCACTTCTTAATAGTGCATCCATCATGCCAAAATTCTGGATCCGGCTCTGACTACTCTAGTACAGCTAGTGTTAGTAGTACAATAGAATGTCGTTCACCCGGCAAGCCCTTTGTACGTTCTGATCAGCTGATACTTTTCAAACAATAATACGAAAAATTGGTACAGTAGTTATATAAATGAAGGATGTAAACTGAAACCATCTTGCAAAATTTTACAACGAATATGTATGTTTCAAATAAGATATGTATTTTGTACAAGGTACTTTTAAAAACGATATGTATGTTCTGCTTTTGCAAAAATCAATGAAAAGTAGAGCAAACAAATAAAAGAGAGCAATTATTCACAGAGGGAAAAATTAAACAACAGAACTCAAATACTAAATATTGCCACAGTACAGTATTCGGCAACCAATATTAATTCAGCGATAGACTCAAATTTTCAAATATGTATTCTTTATGATTTTTTCTAATCTTGTATCAAACATTAGAGCAGTTTCGAAAGTCTTTTTAATGTTAAAAGTATCAAAAGTCGCAGGAAAAAAGTATTTTAGTTCATAAATAATTTGGATTAAAAAAGTGAATTAAATCACTGTACTGTATATAGTGTTCATGCCTTATACTAATTTTTATTGTTTAATATATTAATAAATTAAGAATAAATACCTACGAGTTGTTGTGGTTTACAGCACTAAGATCAAATGAACACATAAGAAATAACATGATTACGAGAAGGTGGGTTTACCATTATTTTACCAAAATCTGAGTTCTTCAATCTCGTTGTTATTCTCAAAAGCAGTTCAAGTTCACAAAGCATATTTTGTCATTTAAGCAAGGCAAAAATGATAACCCGGAAAGGAAAAACATAATTAAAAGAATAAACATAATTCATAAACAGAAGACAAAGAAAAAGATGACGAATTGACTGCACGCATACGCTAAACATTTTAAATTGCTTAAAACAGAAAAAAAAAACATGAATTTTAAAAATAAACTAATGCAAACAATAACTTGATGATGATGATACAGTAATATTTGGTGGTGCTCGACCTTTGGCCACAGATTTAACATCGTGTCATGAACCTATTATATTACTGGAAAATAACTTTAATTTTAGTAAAAAGGTTGAAAGTGCATTGCAAAATAAAATAAAATAAAATGAAAAATAATGGACAGAATACCGTATTCTGAATACGCATGCAAAGAGAGGAGACGAAGCTTCTTTATGGAGATCGAAAATATATGAATGAGCCGAAGAATTAATCGTCCACTTTCAACCGCATTCTAGGAACCTGACATTAATTGGCTTCAATTATTTAAGAACCCATCGTAAAGCCATCCGTTGCAACTCTTGATTTGCCCTTGCAACTGTTTGTTGTTTGTATGTATTTACATTATATGCTGAAAATGAAAAAGAGCAAAAAAAATGATTAAAAAGATAAATAACATTCCTTATTAAAGAGATATGCCACGGGCTAATGTCCCTGGATTATATATATATATATATATAGATTCTTCGATCAGTACGTGCTTTAATTTCCCTCACTGGACTTCAGGAATACTATCGACTATCGAGCATAGGCGTGTTTGTTTTAGCCCTCAAGGTTCATTGTGCCCTTTTCTTTTTGGTTTGCGATAAATTTTGTCTTTTTTTTAAAAACCCAGGACTCGCTGTTGTATTATTGACCTCTAATTACAGAACATCCTTCAGTATGTACTAGCAAATTGGAGTCAGGGATGGATGTATAGTATTAGCTAGAATTTTAGCCGAACCCAATTGCTTTGGCATGTGTTAAGAAATCTACTATCTACTAAATACACATTTCGATGGAAAAATGATATTGTATAGCCACTGTAAAAATAATAGCCGGAAAATATATAAAATTTATATATTTTTTTGTATATATACATATTCTGTATGTTATATACAAAAATTATACAAATCTTATATATTTTCAGCTACCAAATGTAAATAGTTTCGGATGCGGGCTAAAAGGGATAATACCCCCATTTCAAACCCAGTAACTCAAATGTCAAATTTTTCAATCTTCAATCTGCCTCTTATTGGAGAGGTATATTGAGATTTGAGCAAATACTACATGGATCACACGTCAACCTTTTAGGTACGCGTTAAGATTTCGACTCAATTCAACAATGTCTAAATTTTGGACTCAACTATACGATCACTATAATCTGCATAATATGATCAACTGGTAAAATAACTGTAAATAGCAAACCAGACCTTGGCAGTAATGTTTACCCAAACATGACATTGAAAGAACTCTTGATAAGTTCCAAAACTAAGAACTGGCATTCATCGCAAACTAAACTACTGAGGGGTTTTCACCAGAGTACTTTATACATTTTCTGTATGGAACTGTATTGGCTACAAAAGAGTGGGGGCTGAGATAAATATAACCCCAAAAACACTACATCACCTTTGGTTCTTTAGTATCCTCTCTCATTTTTACTATAGCTACCTCCAGCTTCGATAACAGATGAGACGTTCTAGATTCACCTAGGCCCTAGCGTGCCAGAATCAGTTGCGCCAACTGTTTAGCTTCTTTGCTTCAAAGGAGGCTCCATCATTGAGCATGTCTTGTGCATCAGTTTCCATCCCAAGTTTGGATAGGGCAAGAGCCTGCATATAGAATGCAGTAGGCCACTCGGGCAAGCAAACCTGCGCTTGCATAGCGTCCCTTAGAGCGAGTTCTGGTTGGCCTATCATCATGTAGGAAAGGGCCCGCCTCACGAAAACAGTGCCGGAAGGAACAGACATCATCGATACTAACTGTTGGGAAAAAATAAACTAGGCAAAGTTAGGAGTACACATAATTATGAGCATAACATGATAAATAATAGAATAATATAAAACATTTTTTTATAATGAAAAAAGAAGTCTCGAACAAGAACATCAAGTGATTCATGATAAGACAAGTATTATTCTTTGAAATTAAGGGGGTGAAGTGGGGAAGTCTCGAACTTGTACGACTCTCATGCTGCTCAACGTAGTAAGGAAATGATAGAACATCTGAGTGGATATCTCATACTTCAAAAGTTACACATTTAGCAGGTTTTAGATAATAAATACATTTTCAAACACCAATCCCCACCCTGCATTTCCCATTTGCTCCAAGAAACTTGCAGATCTTTTCGGACTTAAAGCCCTAAGACCAACCGTTACATGCCTAATCTTTAATGATGGCAGAAACCTGAAGACCCTGTTCATTATTGTACATGGCTTCCTTCAGGTTTCGGCTACATACAGTACGAGAGTTTCCTTTCTCAAGAAAATAAGAAACTGTTCATGATCATTACACAACAATGAGATATAGAGCTACTCTCCTTTCTTTGTTTCAGATATGCCCCAATTCCAAGCTAAAAATGCCGCAATTCTATCATTTCGTCTCCAATTATCTCAAAATGCGAAATACACAGAGCCCATAATGCAGACCAAAGAAACTTTCAGGCTGTCGTAGCCTTAAGTAGCTGTGGATCCCATATCTAGAGAAATCCTAGAAGCTCTTATGAGGAGTTTGAGATCTTTATAACATAATATTACTGCCATCTTTCTTCGTAAGCAGGAAAAGATGGGCATCAGAATGCCATCCGCATGCATATCCAAATATAAGCGACTTCTTAATGCCAAGGGAAAGTGGGACAAAAATCCCCAAGATTAGAGCCTCACTAGAGAAAGACCGATTAAACAAAGGAGCAAACACCAAACGAATTTAATAAAATATGAGCAAACAAAGGAGCAGATTACCTTAGAATAATAGTCAACTGCACTCTTGAAGTCCTTGTCCCGGAAAGCTATATCCCCAAATTTTTTGGTATTTAACATATCTTGAACTTGTTGGGTCCATTCTTGGAATGAGAGCTTTACAAAAATTTAGGTAGAATCAATTATGTCAAATCTCCACCAGAAGTACTAGGTAAGATTGTCTTTCAGATAAATCGCTAAACTTTTTAATGATTGATAAATGCTTAAACTTGAGAACACAAAAAAACAGAGACCAACATGAGAAAATAAAAGAAAGTTATGAGGAAAGAAACATATTAAATGGTCATAGAGGATAATTAGTGTTTTTCTTATTGTAGATAATACCCCCATGATCTTTCTGCATCAAGTTCAATGATTTACAAGCACCATTTACATCGGAATAAAAAGTAACAACGGATGAGCTCACCTCATTTTCAGCACCCTCCTCATCTTTATAACCTGTTTTAAGCAAGATTTCATGAACAGCAGTGAGGTCTATCCTCGCACAAGCCTTTCCAAGAGGAGAGAGCATGGTTGGAAGCACCACTGGAGTTTTTGTTAGATCCATCAGAACATGTGAGGCGACCTAAGATAACAATGTGCAGAAATATTTTTCAGATCCTAGAACCTAGGTCAATCCATCAGAAATACATGGAATAATGCATCAGGATCAAAGATGTTTTACAAATACCTCCTTCTGCTTCTGAAGGGGCTCCACTGCATTAAGAATGAACTTGATATCAGGTCGATCCCTAGCCTCGTACTGGAGACATTTTGAGGCAAGTTCAACCAATGCTGTTGCATCTTCATCGGCATATTGTCCTTCCAAGGATGAATCCATCAATAACAACACATTTTTACCCCTAATTAAGTCTAGTGCCTGGAAAGAGAGCAAAGTCCAAGAACCAGTGAGACAATGCATGCAAGAGTGAAACAGCTTTAATTATAGTTTCCGGCATCATTGAGAGATTTTAGATTCAATAAGTAAGCAACTATAAACGATGAGCCAAATGGTGCAGAAATTTTGAAGGATTTATATGTCAGAGTACATTACATGGCTTGGAGGAATATGCTTTCCACTTAACAGGTCCAGCAGAACAGTCCCATAGCTGTACATCACACTTTCTGCGATTACCCGGCCTACAAATAGAAATTAAGGGGAAACAAAAAGGAAAGGAAAGGAGAAAAAAAGTTAAGGAACTGAACGTAGATATTAAATAGGAAAAGAAAGAGAAAAGGAAAGGAGAAAACAAGGTGAGGAACTGAACACTGTCCCAATGTTTTGAAACTAAAGGATTTCACTTCAAATATGGGTAAATGAGATAATTTGACTATATTATGAAATTACATCCAAAACTGCATCTAATTGTGGCATTGTGCACGATAATAAAACTAGTTAATATACGAGCCTGAATATCATTGGACTGGCTCAAAAAAGTATTCCATCTAAGCAGAGAAGGCAAGGATAAATGCAGTTCATCATCTCTTCTTCTCTTTTTTGTCAGTATGCATCATCTCTCTGGTAAACTAAATTTCTAAAATTCAAATACTTCAACAAATTTTAATTATTTTGCCAAAACACCCACAACTAGGTAGTGGCATACTATTTTCAGCAAATCTTCACATTGGAACCTCTATTTCATATACTCAAGAAGAGATAATTGTCTAAGTGAGAACTAGATAGATCTCCCACTAGATATACCATATACGTCCTACTTTTTTTAATAACCGAGAAATCTCCGAGGGCAAGAGGCGCGCGGTCCGAAACTTGGTGGATAATGGGCTAGGGTTTGAAGTTTGAACTCATAACGAGCGCCTAACCCACACATCACAAGTGGCGCTTTTACCACTAGACCAAAGCCTTGGGGGCGATATACGGCTTAACTAATGAACCTCATTCTTTTGGAATTCACTTAAAGGAGTTTAGTTCAAGATTCATAGATTTCCTTCTCCTTATTGGACCTGCATTACTCTTGTTTAACTATTTGCAATCCTCTACTGTTTCTAACATTTTGCTCCTTTCCATGAAAATCAAGTACAAGTATAGCCCATCCCCATAGAGCAATACCTTGAGAACAAACACACTTAGGGGTCTTTCGGTATAAAGACAACTTATGCAAGATAAGTAATACAAGGATTATAATATAGAGATTTGTAATGCAAGGATTAGTTCGTGTTGGATGTTTACTTTGACATACGACAATCAGTATACAATGTATACTTCAAAAATGTGCTTACTTTTTAAACAAAACAGAAGTTTGTTTACTATGATGAGGGTTAATGTGTTTTTCCGCATAGGATGATGATGGTTAATATTATCATTTTACTGTTTTTAATCTCTCATCACAGCACAACTGCCAAGACACAAGAGAATTCTTATGCTTCTTTTGATAAGTATCTTTTTTTTTTTTTGATAAAGTAAAGTAGATTCTTTTGATAAGTATCAGATAATGCTTATACTTTTATGTAATTGGTTCTCTCTGTAATCAAGAATCTCAACGCATTTTTAAATGACTGCCAGTTCATCCATCTATAATGTGGTGTGTATACCTGTGCGCAAAAACTCAGGAGGCGTATAAGCAAGATTGGTGCTATAGCTCTTTCCATCTCTGCTGTTTTTCATAAGACCAAAACTAGATAATCGAGGGTCACCTTCCTGAAATATCAATTAAATTAAGCAAATTCAAGAACAGACCACCCAAAACTGACGGTACAGTGACATTTGCAAAACCACAGAGATAGGGAGATGTGATATTTGCGCGAAACCTGTGGTTTGAAACAAAGCAACTGAGAAAACAAGATAGGCCTGTGATATACTTCACAGAAATACTCAACCATATTTCTCTATTATAACCTAAGAATCAAGATCGATCACTCTTCGGGTTATAAGAAGGGAGGTCCAGAACAACTAACATACAGCTCTTGCAAGCAATCACTTGACATTTAGAAGATGGCCTCCAGTTTCATATAAAAACTCCCCAAACTTGTAATGCTAAATTCGTGGTAATGACTAGTTATCCAACAACTTATCTCACTTTGAGCTTTAACAGTCACCACTGAGAAGTCTTAGCTGCTATGCAGCTAAAATTTCATTTTCGGGGGCCTCACCGCCATTGCTGTCAACCTAAAATCTTAGGTATATGCTTACTGGAGCAAAAATTAAATAAATTGTGTAAGATGTGGATACCATACATTAGAACAAACAAATGATTACTTCCTGCCCACCTACTTGCACAAGAAATAATGGCATCCGGTTCCTTAAAAATTTAAGAAAAAATGAATTGAAAGACTCCTGATTTTAAGTTTGGATACCTCATCAAAAAGAACTCTGTAAGCATTCAAATCATGATATATCTTTCTGTTTTCATCATTGCAATGATCCAGAGCCTGTGCAATATAGTATGCAACTCTTACTCGCATCTCCCAAGGCAAAGGTTGTTTCTCCCCTGCACCATCAAAAGACATGCATGCTAATAAGAGACCTGAAAGTTTAGCGATTAATATAAAAATACTTGCAGATCTGAAATTAAATTCAGCATTATCTTGTAAGACAATAGAGAAAAGATGCTTTCTTTGCCGTTCAGCATTTAATAGTGTTAGAATCAAGAACAGGCAAAAGGCTAAACCATACAGTGGAAGAGATGCTTTGAGAGAGTATCATTAGGCATGTATTCTGCAACCAATAGGCGCTCATCTCCCTCAGCACAACATCCAATCAGATTCACTAATCTCTTATGCCGAACCTTGCCAACTCCAGCTGCCTCTGCCTGCAGTATGAGTAGGACAAGATTAAGAGGTTGTGGACACAACTGATAGCACAGCAAAGATATTCTGATATTTGGATATCTACCGCTTACTTGAAACTTACATACATATACATTAGCTTACAAACTTAATTGTATCATGGTATTAACTGTGTCTGTTGAAACTGGAAAACCAAATGAGATCACGTACTCACAGTGTCCAGCTTAAGTAACGTTAGCGACGACATACTAAAGCAACAAAACAATGAAAGCTATAGTGGACGACTATTATAGATGCTGTTCAGTAACCAATAAGTGTGTGTCCATGAAGTCATATCGAAATTAGAGTTCAGGTTTCAAATCCAAATATTTCTTGCTCAACAATGATGACGGCTAAAAGGACCAAAAAAACAATATATTCTGTTGACTTATAACCAGATTTACCACAAACTGTTGAGCGTCAGGCCATGACTGCCTGGAGAAGCGTTTGATGGCAACTATCCTGTTGCTCCGAAGCTTCCCTCTGTAGACAACGTTGGGAGCTTTCTCACCACTTTCAGAAACTATTAATTCACTGCTAAAGCCATTCGTTGCTGCTCGGAGTTCGGCAAGACTAAATTCCTTGAATGCAGGCACTTGATCTTGGTCTACTTGATCTCCATTAGCTTCATTGTCAACACAGGCAAATTAAACAAGAGATTGATTAAAGCTAAAGTTATGAACCGCCACAATTACATCGAAATTTTTGCACATCTACTTAAAAGTGAGAATCTTAGCTCAGATACATATACTTGCCCTGTCCTGGCTTACCTGCTTGTTTAAGGATACAAAAAGCAGAAACGAGTGATAACCACATCAATTTTCAGTATAATCAGAAACCCTATACAGAAATAAATATGGCAAAAGAAAAGGATAAATCTTGGCTAAAAATCAGTGAATGGAAAAAGAGGCAGCATACAAGTTGACACACAATGAATATTCCACAAGATTCATGCATTCAGAACTCCCACTACAAGTTAACTAAACAGAAAAATTAGTACAGTTAATAAGAGACAGATGGAAAATAACAAAAAAGGGGGGACTTTTTCTTTTTCAAAACAGAAA